GTTAGGTATACATAAAATTTATTAGTCATATATCCAAAGTCAGAGGGGAGATCTTGTTTCTTCAGAAGTGGGGTACATCCCAGTAAGAAAAAAGTCAGAAAGTATCTCACCTTGAAGCTAAGTAGGATTAGTCCTTCTTAGTACTTGGATTGGAGACTACCAACAAATGTCCGGTGCGGTGGACTTTATTTTAAAAGAAGGAATGGACAAAACTACCCTCCAGTATTTCTAGCCTAATCAAAGCCCTATAAAATTCATGGGTTCACCCTATGTTAGCAGGTGACTTGAAGGTACATAAGGTATTGAAAGGATACATAACAACAAGGGGAAGGCGTCTGCAGAAATATATATCTGATCAATGCAATTGTAAATGTAAAGTAGTAGGAAGTTAAAAACACCATTAAATGATGGAGAGGATAAAGTGGAAAAATGAAATATTTTATTGCTTCCAGCCTAGGTATCTGCATGCCCAAACCCATTCATATTGGAACATATTTCTACTCAAAATGCCCTAGTGGGTGAGCATTACTGTTATTAAAGAGAATCATAAGAACTTATATCAAGTAATTGGTCCAATTTAGCCCAATACTAGGCCTGTGTGATAAATGAAAATAATAGTCATGGGCCCGGTAATTGTTTCAGACATTTAATTCAGGTTTTCATACAGTTTGTTTCATTCTGATAGCACAAAATGATACACACACACCAGTATGGAAAAATCAGTGAAATGAAAATTTTGGTGCTCGGCTGCAGGCCCTGCCAGGCATTAGCACTTTGGGTCTGCACTCCACATATGTACTCTCTTTCCACTGGCATGGTTGCAGAGCTCCAATGAAGAGACCTCAGCAGTGGCACAAGTTAGGTTTCTTGATTGAAAAGGGAAATGGCAGGGAGAAAGGACAGCAGAGCTGGCTAGTTTCAACCTTCTAGCCCTAAAACTAAGGGGAATGTGGGAATCCCACACATTGCTGCCAATTTGATGAAAATATTTGTTTTTTCAGATCTAGGATCTAAAAGCTCATTCGGAAAGGTGCCCATTTTCATGGGAGGTGCTCGAAAATGAAACGAGGCCTTACGAATGAAACAAACAAACAAACTGATAGTGATTATGTACAAATACACAAGACTAGAAAATAATGTTTCAATACTCATTACTAAATTGGGGGGGCGGGAATCATCTCTAAAGTGTTTCTAAAATATTGTAAGGGGTCAATAGGGGGAAGCAGAAGCAGCCCTCTTTCCTAGCCTCCATGTGTGGCCTTTTAAGCACCACGTCCTCCCTCCTGCCACCTCTTCCTCTTCCTGCAGCTGCCCAGCCACTCCTCCTCTTCCTCCTCCTCTCCTCAATGCGCAAAATGCCCCGCTATGAACTGACGTTGATCCTGAAAGTCATGCAAAGGCCAGAGACAGCTGCAACACTAAAATGCTCAGTGGAAGCATTGATGGAAAAGGGAACAGTTGTGAGGAATTTGGAGAACTTGGGAGAGAGAGCCCTGCCATATCGGATCACAAAACATAGCCAAGATCACACCAGAGGAGGGTATTTTTTGGTAGATTTTGAATCTCCATCAACAGTTATTTCTTCTGTGAAGGACCATTTAAGACATGATATTGATGTAATACGGTCTACTGTTTTAAAGCATCATGTGACAAAAACAGACAAATGTATGGGCATCATTGAAGAAAATATTTATTATTTATTTATCAGGGGACTCAGAGCGGCATGCATCTAGACAAAAATTCAGTGCCTCATTATACAAACCATATAAAACATAACATAAAATCACTAGAAACAATAAGCACATAAATACCATTTAAAATGTTAAACACATTGAACCATAATAATCCCATACACAAATAACACTTGTACCAATCTTCCCCCTGATCCTAAGGCAGTGCCTCCCAACCCGCATTAAGGAGCCAGTCCCCAGGAGCTGAGGTCAAAGGCAGCCTGCAGCAGACAGCTACTTTTTTGTTAAGTAATTGTGCAAGTGGAGAAGCTTCTGGGGCTCCTTTATCCCTCATTTTAGAGCTATTGGGATGAACACATTTGTAGAACACATTTGCCACTGTTACACCTCCCCTCCCCACAGTTTCAGCACATTTCACACATCCACTATTTTTTCGGAAATTAAGAAAGTTTTATGAACAATATTTTTTTAAAAAAAGCTGTAAGAGCTGTCTCCTTGAATTTCTATTTTCAATGATGCAACATAACCAGGGCACCATCCCCTGAGTTTCAGAAAGATTCGAAGAACCACTGATTTTTAGAGAATTTAAACCAACATAACAATACTATTTCACTGAAAGACCCTAGGGTCCATCCAGTCCAACCCCCTACTGCAAGAAAAGCACAGTCAAAGCATCCCCAACAAATACTAATCCAGCTTTTGAAATCATAATAACAACAACAAGAAGAAACTTACTAGGTAAACTTTGAAGTCACTGCCTCTCAACTTTGCCTACCTCACATAATTGATTCAACTCCTAACAATCCCCTTTTGTCTCAAAATCCTTTTAGAGAATGAACATGGGCTTCCACTCACCAAAACTTTCAGGGAGGAGGAGGAGGCACAAGGTGGTAAACAGAATTCTCAGAAATGTAGTTTGGGAAGGCAAGGACCCCTGTGGCAGAGAATTCAAAAGGCCCTGCCCTAAACTACATTTACCAGAATGCTACTCACTTCAAAACACCAGGACTGCCCTCGTTAAAGTCTCAATGTGATGGTTTCTGGCTGTCTCTTTCTGGGCCAGCCACGTGCCACATGGACTCTTTCCTTGCCCGGCCATCCAGCCAAGCATCCCTCTTTCCCTTCCTCCCACCCAGACTTCCTCCCCCCCGCCTTTGGGGAAAGTGCCTCAGGGCCCTTTGGAGGGAGAAATGAAGCCCACGACAGACCTGGAGCCACTTATGAGACTTACACAACTTCTGAAAAATCATATGTCAGTGTTTTGAATCTTAAGTTTTTTTTGCCCACTTTTTAAATATTTCATCGTATGTACAAATCTTATGAAATAGATCCAACATGCAAGGTACAAATGACTTTTTGCATAACCATACTATCTACCCTGATTAGCAGGAGCTTTTCCAAGTCTTTGACATGCTACCTGATTGTTGCTAGTGTTGCTTTAAGCTGGAAGTGCCAGGAACCTAAACTGGCAAGTTGTGAGCAAATTGTTCACTTTGCCTCTAAGTTCTGGGGAGTATAGAGAGTACAATTATAGCCATTTGATACACTTTAAATAACATGGCTTCACCCTACAGAAACCAGAGATTCAGGATTCAGACAATACTTAGAATTACTTGCTAGAAAGCTCTAGTGCAATCTAGTATAGCTCAGTGCAGAGAATTGTATTAGAGTTTTCTACCAGAGAATTCTAAGTACTATCTTTGATATCTCATCTATTTTTTTAAATGTCTTACTATATTTCAAAGTGGTTTGACATTTAGCTCTATTATAGTTCAGCTGCCATAATAACTGCTCATTATGCAGTTTTGCATTATAAAGCATTGTGCACTTCAGTAAGTCAAGTCACACAGATGCTTGTGATTAAAAACAACAACCCTACTTACCATCCTATGAGCTGTCAAGATCTATCCCATATATATTTATAAGATAGTATTAGCCTGTCCGCATGGAGTTTTCAATATTAGACAAGTACACCTGCCTCCTAGCTTAGATTTAATGCCTATCCCACTGAATGCACAGACATCAAACCCCTCAATGTAGCTGTGCTATTTAAATGGAAATCTAGAAATTATAGTCTTCGAATCTGGAGCTCAATGGCACCTGTTATCAGTGCTGAAACTGACCTTGAGTTTAGGAAAGAGTGGCCATGTGGGATTGCAATTCTAACAACAACACTATTTTTAACTGCCTCTCCCCAAGGTTTGAGGCAGTTACAACATAATTAGAACACAATAGATAAAATCCTAAAACCATTTAAAACACAACATATAGACTATTGAGAATGGTCAGCAGGTCAACAAGCAATGAAAAGTAAAGCCCCTTCACCTCTGCATTACTTTCACTGGCAAAACTTTTTCCTTTGTAATGCACACTTTAGATTTGATAATGCATTACACTTGAGTAAATACGATAGGCCTTTACTTCTTTTTAAAATTCTGGCAGTCCATTTTGCTGTCGAATCTCTTCCAGCAGGTCATTCTATAGTCTAGGACAGTGGTTCTCAACCTGTGGTCCATGAGTAAAGGACAATGTTGTATTTTGAAATGGTCATATAACTGGTCAAATAAATAAATAATTGTTATGTATTGTCGGAGGCTTTCATGGCTGGAATCACTGGGTTGTTGTGAGTTGTCTGGGCTGTATGGCCATACAACTGGTCAAATAAATAAATAATTATTATTATGTATTCCATGTTCTGGAACAAGGCCATACAGCCTGGAAAACTCACAACAACCTAGTGTATTCATTGTACACATACCTAGCAAACTGTATCAAGCAGAACTGCCCTTCATAGATTTGTTTTGAGCACTCTTTCCTTTAGGGAGAGGGGATGGTAAAATTGTGAGTGTGATGTAGACACACACACACACATTCCAAACTGCATAGTATCTGTCTTGTACAGTACCCCATGGGCCCATTAATGCCCACTATTCCACTGCATAAAAGGAATCCAGTCACACTGAACCATGGAGACAAATCAGAATGACGACTTCCCTGGGGAAATGGCTTAGAAAAATAAAAGGCAAGGGAAATAAATCATGCAGTGAACTTGGTGAACAGTTGCTCTGTGGGTGATAACTTTGGACTGAGTTTCCAATTATTTAATTTATGTCCTATGGCACAGTAGCCATTTTCTTGAGAATTGATTGTCCCCAAATGAGGTATGACAGCAATGTTCGATAGTGATTTTCATTTCCTGTATTATATTGAAAGAGAAATCAGATGCCTCCTAGTTGCAATTTTTCCACCATTTCTAATTTTATAACATTTGCTATAATATTGTTTGTTTGTTTCATTTCATTTTCGCAGATACATGGCCATTATTGATCCTTTGAAGCCCAGACTTTCTGCCACAGCAACCAAAGTGGTAATTGCAAGCATATGGATCCTGGCATTCCTACTGGCTTTTCCTCAGTGTCTTTTTTCAAAGACTAAAGTGATGCCTGGAAGAACTCTGTGCTACGTTTTCTGGCCAGGTGGTATGAGACAGCGATTTCTGTAAGTCAGAGTTTCAATGGGAATGAGCTACTTCTCCATCTTTTATTGCCTTAGAATAGAATTGGACTACTGCAGTGTCTGTGAAGCCATTTTTTGCTACTTCTGGTTTTGAAAAAAACATATTACACAGTATGCCATAGGAAGGAGAGTGGCAAGCAGATCCTGGCAGAAGATGTCCTCAGTCCCATAGTCAGACACAGCCAGGACATCTTCTGCTAATATCTGCTGAAGTCCTCCAGAGATCTCAAGAGATGATGTAATCAGTCTCTATCAGCTATAGGAACATAGCCAAATGTTTCTCCAATTCCTTCCACTCTCCTTTAGCAATAGAATGGCTGTTGGATTGGGGTTATCAGGAAAAAACAATAAAGCCTGTTGGTAGGCTCTGGGTGTTCGGATGCAAGGAGGTAATGCCAATCTCCTCAATGATAAAAAAAAGTATATACACGAGCGTAAAATGTAATTATAATTATAATAATAAAGCTTTGTTTATATTCCGCTCCATCTCCCCAAATGGACTCGGAGCGCCTTGCCTGTGCCAGTAACAGAATGTCAGCCATTGTGTCAGTTCTAAAATATGTTTTCACTGCACTCTTATTGCCTGCACAAAATCTGTTACAGATAATGGCCTCATGGGTAATTTGTTATTTCTGAGCAAGAGGAACACCAGACCTTCCCACAACATATATCAATCATTGTATGCATCATTTGAGGGCAAACGATTGGCCATACCTTCTGTTTGCCAGATGTGTGTGTGTATATATAATACACACTATAAATGTGCTCATTACAAAAAAAAGTGCATGTTACCTTCGTCTTAGTGCCCATCCAACTACGTGCAGGGGATTTTGTAAGGGATGTGGTGAAGAGGGAAAGAAAAATGTATTTAATAATGAAACAATTGTGCATGGTTTAATAGGGTGTCTTATTTAACTACATTCAACTACATTAACATTAGGCCTTTAGCTTATTTTGTTTGATTTAACTTTCTCATAAGTCCCCTTGAGTCTTATGTCCAGAGAAAAGTGAGCTATACATTAAACTAACAAAAAAGAAACCAACACATAAAAATATTCCTATGGATTAATGGCCATAGGGCTATTGCCCAAGCCAACCCATTCTTCATGAACAGAAAATGTATTCTGAGGATCCTTGCCATAGATGCAAGTGAAACGTCAGGAAAAAATGCCTCTAGAACATGGCCAGATAGCCCGAAAAAACATACAAAAACCCAGAAAATGTATTCCTTTTAGCAGTACACTGCAACTTCTGTTCTGGGTTGCTGTGAGTTTTCCTGTCTGTATGACCATGTTCCAGAAGCATTTTCTCCTGACATTTTGCCCACATCTATGGCAGTCTTTGATAGATGCCTGCCATAGATGTAGGTGAAATGTCAGGAGGGAATACTTCTGGAACATGGCCATACAGCCCAGAAAACTCACATCAACCCAGTGATTCTGGCCATGAAAGCCTTTGACAAGTTCTGTTCTGTTTTCTCTCCAAAAGAATTTGTCATTTCATTATTTCATTCTTATAGGTACCATCTGTCAAGAGAAGTTTCGAGACAAAGAAAAATACATTTATAGCATAATTTAAGTCTATTTCATCAGATACAACATTTGCACCTGCATCTGATTAAATAGACTTAAATTTACAAATGTTTATGCTGAAGTTATTTTCTCAGTCTCAAAGATGTTCCAAAATCCCTTTGCATACTCATCCAGACTGACATGACTATGTCTTTGAATTTCACAGGTACCATGTCATTGTAATTGCACTGGTCTATTGTTTTCCACTGCTTGTCATGGGCATCACGTATACAATTGTTGGAATAACCCTTTGGGGTGGAGAGATCCCAGGCGACACATCTGACAAATACCATGAACAGTTGAAAGCGAAACGGAAGGTGCTGTACCTTTATGTCTTGTTAAGTTGATAGCAGCTGAAAGTCTCTCGCTTTTTGTTGTGATTGCCAATTAATTATTAGTTTTTAAAATACTGAGACATTTTAGACAATGCTAGATAATTCCTGTTGCATTTTTTAAAATGAAGACAGATGATAAAATTGGATTTAAGTAAAATGATTGATTGCCATGGACTACTTTTTGTTTTGTTTCTTTTCTCATTTCTTGTCTAACTATCATGTAATTCAGCATTTTGGTCTTGCAAAGTTAAATCTATTTAATCATATGTGTATATGCTTAATATGCCACCTTTCTGGCATCAAATAGTACCCAAGAAACCAATGATTTGTTAACAACAATGCAGTTCAAATTAGAATGTCTATACAATTAGAACATAAAACTAGATTAAACACATTTTAAAATAGAATGGTTAATAATGCAACAATCCAAGCATAGCTATGCTGGTGAACACATATGTATAAAGGCTAAAATTATCCTGAAAATTTGGGAAAACTGAGACCAAAATCTAATTTGATGCTGATGGAATGTATAATGTTCCAACAGCATATTTGACAGTGGAGGTCCAGGATCACAATAGCTGCCAGTCAGTTGATGGCACAAGGGAGCCTTCATTTATCCATTCTGTATTTATTTGAATCAGTGGTAGGAGCATAGCTACAACTCTATGCTCTTTAGGAGCATATCTCCTCGTACAACATCCACTTGTGTTCCAGCCAGTTTTATAAAACAATTCCAGTCAGTTTTATAAAACATAGCTGGATACATTTAGTGTGCATTTCTAGTGCTATTATTCATGGTAGCTAAGATCATGGTCAACTGAGCTAAAATTTTAATTTTACAGAGAACAGAAGCTATTATGCTATCTCTTCTTCTACTTGCTATAATATTTAGAGACACTGCAAATGTGTGGGACCAAGGTTCAAATCGCTTCTCAGCCATGAAAATCTACTGGATAATCCTGGGCAAGCTCCATCAGAAGAAAACAATGGCAGAACCTCCTCTGAATAAATTGTGCCCCCCCCCACGCAAAAAAAAATCTTATGAGAGGGTTGTTGTTAATAAGAATCCATGTGAAGATCAAGAAATCTCCATGAATTTGTAGGCACCTAAGAACAAAAATTAATTGCTGAATTTCCTCATTTCTATTCAATTTCATTTGTGCCGTTAGCATCTGTTTGATGTTTGGGGAACAGAGTATATTTATTTGTGGCATAATGTAAAATAAACCATGTGTAGTTCACATTTGGTCAGCCCACACACTGCCTTGCCAGAGAAAGAAAATATGCCACACAGATGAACAATAAAGAACAAGTAGCTTACTCTTCTTAGTTCAGAACAACATATGTACAGTGTGATCAGTTGCATCAACTCATATAATGTCCTTTTATGAGAGAATTAAAATAGTCTTTCTTTGTCCACATGGATAATCCTCCTTCAGCAACTCATGAAGCAAGAGCACACTCCAAACTCTGTCTCTCTCTGCTTCTCTAAGCACCTGCATAGCTCAAGTGTGAAAAATGTAACCGTAACCAAAAGTCTGGGTCTCAGCCATTTCCTCACACAAAACTCAACTAATCAGCTTTGTGCATCTTAATTTACAGTTGACACACACACACACACAAACTGATTTCTTGCATGCTCCAACATTATTTGGGATGGATGTAATTTTAATGTATTTCATCTGACTCTTTCTTTTGCTGTTTTGATTAAAAAAACTAGTTGTGAGCTTCTAACACAAGGCAGACTACAAGTTGGAATAAATAAAAGATTGGATATTTGGATACTTCTGCATAGTTTACAGAGGGGACTTCTGTCCTGCTGTAGTTCATGTAGCCTTGGAGATCAATCTTTTGAGTGTTGGTTTGTGCGTGTATCTCCAGAATCAGATCACAAAAGCTCAGATGGAAGAATATGTCTTTAAAATCTACTGGAATATCAAAATATACTTGGAGTTGCTGTTTATACATTAGCATGGAGGAAATAATTTTCCCTATATCAAAAATGAGAAAGTGATGGTAACAGACCAGCGGGATTTTGTTCAATAGATTTGCTTGCTATACTTCATATGTAATTACAAGAAGAAGATGAGCTCTCGAAATTGTTTTAATATATGCTGAATCTACCATTCAGGAGTGCCATGTTTTGCCATTAGCATGAATAGCTAATGGCAGTAGGAATACTTCGTTCGATGTCAGCCATTAAAATATTTCCTGCGCTCTCCAGCTTCGAAGGCAAATGCTACAGCGAAACAAAAGACAGGAAAATGCTTTATAGGCAATTATCTGGGCTATTGCTACCAGCACCTTTTCTGTTAGAAAAAGACCTTCTGCTTCTAAGGATTTGCCAGAGGTCTGATTATGATGATAAAGCAAGAAATCATTCATTGTGACAGAAACCAACTGTAGACGAAATTTTATTTCAAAGCAAATCTTGGAACAAAGAAGACTTTTATTCTCACATTAGGGAAAAGAGGATAACCCAAATTGGTGGTGAAATGTATGCTCACAGGAGCCGCAATGGCTTGAGAGCCATGAAAGAAAAAATTGGTGCCATATTGAGCAGTAGATAAATAGGCAGACAACAAAAAGAACAATAAACCAATCTACGTAACCAGTCATTAAAGTAATAAATCAAATGATAGTTTCCTTTCCTGCGAAGTGCTATCCTAAGTGGCAAATATGACCAAATGTCAGCAGAGCTCACATAATCTGGCTGAAGTTGTGCTAAATCCAAATCTAAATAGTTCCTGCCTATATAATACCTTCATTAAGAAACGAAGGTATTATATATCAGAACTCTTCAAGAAACTTTATATATTTTTGTTCATATAGTTAAGTTTTTTAGGAAATCTTCTGATATCTTGATTGCATTTTAGCTTGAGTATCTTTTATCTGAAATTCTTGGGGCCAGAAGTGTTTTGGATCTGGATTTTGGAGGGGTCAGATCAATTAGTAGAGTACACTGCAAGAGGAGAGACAGTAAAAATGTCCAAGGGCCCAGTATTAAATTATAGCTGGGGCTGTATCATCTAATGAACCGGATTAATCAAAAACACAATGGAACTTCCAAGTCTTTAGGTCTTTATGGAAAGTGGACAGGGTAGGTGCTAATCTAATCTCCTTGGGGGGAGAGTTCCAGAGCCAGGGGGCCACCACCGAGAAGGCCCTCTCTCTCATCCCCACCAACCGCACATGAGACAATCTCATACATTTCCCAGATCTCAAACACTTACCAGAAACAGAGCTGCTCTGCTAGCTGAAATTCACTACCAGAATGGCCAGAAAGTGAGCAGAGAATAGAGAGACTGAGGAAAGAGTTGCTACACCACCAGATCCCAACCCCCTCCAGCTCAGATGTATGTAGATTCAGGTGAAGACATCCAGAAGTAATTTCCAACACTCCTAGGCAGGAACTATTTAGATTTGGATTTAGCACAACTTCAGCCAGATTATGTGAGCTCTGCTGACATTTGGTCATATTTGCCACTTAGGATAGCACTTCGCAGGAAAGGAAGTTACCATTTGATTTATTACTTTAATGACTGGTTACGTAGATTGGTTTATTGTTCTTTTTCCTGTAATAAGTAATAGCTTTTAATCAGGTGAACCACAGTGTTGTTTTGCATGCTCTTTAACACGTGTAATTACCTGTACCAATGGGGGTGGAAAGAGCATGTGATTCTGCATTAGAGTACAAAAGGAAAATATACTGTGGCACTCTATGTGAGGCATGATGTACTCAGGTAAAACCTGAAGGTACAAATTAACTGGAACTATGGTTAATCATTGTTAATTACTAGAAGCCTGCATGATGACTTCATGTGAGACCTTTTTAGAGACATGATGCTTTTTTTTTCTCCTCTGAGTGCAGGTTCTGTTATATTTGAGCTGCTATATGGGTCTAGTCTCTGCCAGTGCTATTTTTGGTGAAACACAGATACAATCCTATAGAATTTGGAGGGAACAGTTTTCTTCACTGGTATCATTTAAATCCATGTCTCATGTCTCCACAGATTGTGTTACTTTCCCTATAGCAGAGTTTCTCAAACTATGCTCCCCAGATGTTTTGTACATCAGCTCCCAAAGTTTCTAAAAGCTGGTAAGCTGGCTGGGATTCCTGGGAGCTGAAGTCCAGAACACCTGGAGCACAGTTTGAGAAACACTGTCATATACCATTGCCTGTTGACATTAAAATCTGTCTAAATCAGTGGTTCTCAGCCTGTGGGTCTCCAGATGTTTTGTCCTTCAACTCCCAGAAATCCCAGCCTGGGAACCCACAGGTTGAGAACCACTTGTATAAATAATGTAGGAATTATATTACTATAACTTGGGTGGAAATACATAAATGTAACAGACAGCACTAGCAAACTAGTGGAGCAATTTGAATCCTGGGCTACGACTCTGGAGAACAGGGTTCAAATCCTCATTCAGTCATAGAATCCCACTGAATGACATCAGGCAAATCTAAATCTATCAGCCTCAGGGGAAAACAAAAGCAAACAATCTCTGGATATATCTTCCAAAAAGATACAGCCTTTGATAGATGCCATAAGTTGGAAACTTCTTGAAGGCACATAACAACATCAAGGAGTAGTTACAATAGCATGGTTGGTGGTGGCAGCAGTGATTGTGATGATAGTAATGATGAGTTGTATCCATCTTCCAAACAGGGCTTTGATGTCTCAGAGCACCATGGAATGCCTTGAACCATTTGAATATGATTGGGTATCCTAGCTGAAAATGAAATTAACCAATAATCTATATGGTTTTGTTATTATTAGTAATCGTGTTTATTGATGAGTTGATTGCTACTAGGTTAGACCACACTGGTTAAAATTTAGGCAAATTCGTGGTTTGTAAGGCTATCAGTGGCTACTCTGTTAACTCTGATAATCAATGGGATACCTACTTTATAGGATGTCAATAGAAGGGATCTTTAGGTCACTACCAGACAACTAACTGGATGTACTACCTTAAGCAAA